GTGTCCTGACGAGATGACCTTAGTTCTGGGTATCAAAGAGCAGGTCAAGATTGGAGTGTATCATTGAGACTTTCATTTTCACTCCCTGAATCACTCACCAGCGAGATTCTAACCATGTACCCTAGAGGCGATTTGAGTCAAACGTAGTGGAGTTTGATGAGGCACACCCTATTCGGGTGTGAAATTAACCACTTCCTTCGATTCTCCGTCTTCCTAATCTCTCATTTCTTTTCCATTTTCTTCTCTCATCCATTTCATGTGACTCTTTCCGCCACCTTTATCGTCGTTGTTTATACCAACCCGCCTTACCGGCCGGAAACAGGCGAGTGTAGTTCGCGGGGAAAATCAGGAGGACAACCTCGATCTGTTGCGTCTTCCCCTTGACCCGAACTGGAGAGGTGCGGTCTATCAAGGTGGCTCGGTCACATTTGAACGCAACTCTGTTCCCGATATTGTGCGAACTTGGCCGGCGGTACCGCGACTTGTAATCGGTCCCACAGCCTCTTCTTCGGGCCGGCAATTGTCATTCGACCAAGCATCATTGTCGAAGGCTCCTGTGCCCATCACATTCATGGGTCGGGAAGACGGCGTGGTGCGAATGCCGTCCTGGGACTTTGATATTTACACTTCTTTCGAGATTGAATTCATCACTTACGAGCCCCGGGGACCGCTTTTTTTTGTGTAAGCCTCATGGTCACCTTTTAATTCCTTTATTCATCTGCCTTAAAACCTCGGACCTCTTCTCACATCGGTCTTCTTTCTCATCATATTTGGAAATCATAAACGGAAATCCGCTTTCATCCATCTTGAAGGCCGGTAAATTCGCCAAAATTACAACAAATACAGACTAGCTACAACCGCTCCCTTCTAGTCAGCGCCTCCTTTTCCGCCTGAGTCCTTTTAGTCTCTTGGACACCAAATGAGAGCTCAACGAAGGCTCGATTCTCGAAGCTGAATAACGACCTTAAACTGTATCTGTGTGTCACTGCCTTCGCTTCTATGTGTATGCATGTATGCATGTATCAACCTGTTTATGCTTTTCGATAGACATGTAAAAATTTAGGGTTGCATGTACGCTTATATGTATGTATTTATTTATGGTCCTATATATGTTCGTATGTATTTGCTTATTTACTTATTTATGTATTTATCTATTTTTGGTTTTGTTTATGTAGGTATGTATGCATGTATTTACGTATGTGTGTATTGATGCATTTATGTATGTGTATTTTGTATGAATGCATACATATAAGAATCCATTTATGATTTTATGTATGCATGCATGAATTTAAGGTTGTCTGTATATATTAATGGTTGTCTGCATACATGCTTGTATATATGCATGAATTTACTTATGTATGTATTTATGGTTGTATTTAAGTATGATGCTATATATGTATATATGTGTGGATCTATGGTTTTTGCTAAGCATGTATGAATTTATAGTTGCATATTTGTTTTAATGGTTCATTGCGTGCATGTTTATTTGTACGTATATGTTTGTGTTTATATTCATGTATTTAGGAATATGTGTATGTTTTTTTGAGGATTTGTTAAAATGTCTTAAATTTTGGTTTTTATCCTTAACTAGTGTATGTGAATACATGGACCTGTTCGCATATATGCATTTCTTGTGTGGAATTGAATGAGGCATTTTCATAGCCTTGGTGGGGCAATGGCGTATAGAGAGTTTTGGTACTAAACCAAAACTTTCTGGCGTTCTTATGAGATTTGATCCCCGCAGAGCCCGTCTGAGTAGGGAACGTTGTTTTTTCTATCGGCGTTTCTTGTCGTACCGAAAGATGAACCTTGAAAAGAACCCAATAAAATTACCTG